GCCACTCGGAATGCGGTGCAGTGCCGCGAGGCGGTACCCGTTGCCAGTGCGGGCACAGGCCGCAGGGCCCCCTAGGGGGCAGAATACTTGGTTGGCCACTATCATTGTGTCTGCGGTTCAGACGCCCCCACGGCCCACGGCGCACCGCGCCCCGCCCCGCCAGCTGGCGGCCCATAATTCAGCACGAGTCCCCGACCTGCTGACTAGGACAGGCGGGGCGGGGTGGGGCGGGGTGGGGTGGGGTGGGGTTCGGCGTGACGCCCCCGAAGTCAACTTAATGAGCTTTAACACATGTTAACATGGACCCCTTTCCTTGGCCAAGTGGGCCGGTACCAAAACAAAGACCAAACAGTGGAGTGACAGGGCAGGCAAAGCGGCACTGATAGGCCGCGAAGCGCTAAGACGATGATTCACAGGGATGCAAACCCGACACTAAGTCTTTCACCTGCAAAACGAGCGGAAGAAAGCGATTTGTGGGGCAAAGCTCGTCTTTCTGATCAACACAACACACGCTTACCCTCAGTTGTACCACATTGTACTTCAGCGAATGACAGACTGACAGACCCCTCAGCACACTGGTGCACCTGAGGACTGTTTTAATTAACAATCTCCTCCCTTGCCTTTCACTTGACGACCCCTTCCCTTTCAGTCGGTCCAAGAGATTTGTCAAAGGCCAGACTCAGTCACAGCCAGCGAGAGAGGTCAGGTGTCAGTGCGCGTCCCGGCTGGTGCCGTCCGTCCCGCGACCGGCTTCGCAGGCTGGCTGGCTGCGCAGGCGGAAGGAGGCACAGTTATGAGGAAGAACTCTCCTAATGGCGCTGCGCTGCACTGCCGTCACAACAACCAAACAAAAGCGGCGCTCCAATTTGTCTCCGCGACAATTGCCGCCTTTTAACGGCAGCTCGCGCTATTTTTCCTGTCCGCTTCCGAGACGGCTCTCAGTCAAGCCTTTTCGGATTTAATTACTCCAGAATGTCTCTGAGCATTGACTGGCCGGGGCCTCCGGGCCTTAGCATTTCCTCGTCGGACGGCGTGAGTCGGTCGTCATTTTGCGCGGCGGCACTGCCGCGAAATGTTCCGGAGAGTGTTCGCGCGGTTCAGCCGATAGTTTCCAGATTAATTAAGGAGCTGCACGATAACGAGTAACGTGCCGGAAAGTTTCGCTCGTGTTTGCGCGCGCGTGTGTGTGCATGTGTGTGTGCGAGAGCGAGCTTGAGGTACCGACAGCCACACGCGTCGGTTTTGGTTTTCTTGCCGGCGGTGGAATGTGCACGCGGTCTTCTTTCCACTACCCCCGAACTTCAGCCTCCTTCGGCCCCTCCGTAGGATTGATCTCCGGCGAGTGGCATCGGGATGGCGCCCAAGGACCTCCTCGAGCTGAGAGGCCGGTGGCACTGCCAAGGAATCTAATGCGCTTGATGAATTTCTCATCGAGAGCATGATGGTGGGGGCCTCACACACTCACACACGCGCGAGGGGGCACCCCCTTGCTCAACAGCAAATCGAATAACACTCTTGGCCTCCCCTTTCCCCTGCCCCCTCCTCCCGAAACACTCCTGCGGTCTAGTCATCCTTCTCGCGCGTAAACTGCCGCCGTCGTCGCCTGGCCATAAGGCCATTCATTTTCGCCAAGATGCCCCGCGCGCCACGCCGTGGCCGCGCCACCGCCTGCTCGAAACAAGACGGCCCAGACAAATTAATTACTTTGCAAACATTGGCATCGCCAATTCGAATCATTTGAATCGTCTGCTTGTCGGCGTTCGCGTCAAAACGTTCCCCACAATGGGATTACGACTTGTTTCGATCGTATTTGCAAACCGCCGTTGCTCTGCGACCATCTTTTCGGCGACGCTTCTTTTGAATTGGGCCCTGCTAATCCTTCACCCGGGAGTGCGACAGACGCCAGACGCTGGGAAAAACATTGAATATCAAGACGCGACAGCGAGCAGCCATCCCGCGCTCCAGATGGGAAATGGGAGAAGATGAGACGGCCAGAGCCTGGCCCCTCGGCGTGGCCCGGACAGGGCGAGGCCAGGGCGTAACGCGCTGACACGCCAAGATTTACTTCAATAGGCCATTTTTTCAGCATCCCGCACTCCCCTTTGCAGGTCATGCTTTCCCCCTCCCCCCGTCTGTCTGCCTGTCTGTCTGCCCGGCTGCCTGCTCGGCGTCTGTCCCTCTCTAGCGATCTATCACCGGCCGGAAGAGCTGGCTGGCAGAATGTCAGGCTGTGTGCTGCAAGCGCTGCAAGGCCCGGCCGCGCAATGCAGCTACCTGCCGCCACGACGCGCCGAAACGGGACGTTGCGGTGGCTGCGTAAATGAATTAGACTTTAAAATGGATTCTGATAATGGCCTCACGGACACTCACGGAGGGTCTCTCGCTCTTATCAAATTCGTGAATGAATTTATGGTGTCCCTTTTTGATCGGCATTATGCGACGAGGACCAATAAATATTAATTAAGCACGCCTAGCAGGGCCGAGCGAGACTCACGGTCGGGGTAGCGGCGCCTAGGCGCGCCCAGGCGAGGGACGTACCCAGGCCGTGGCGGGCCGTGGCGGGCCGTGGACACGACGCTGCAAGAAATATGTGTCGGTGGCGGCCCGGACCCGCCGGCCTGATATGACGTAGAGATTGTGAGGGTCAAGTAAATTGGACTGAAAGAATGTCATCACGCACACACTCACGAAGGGGTATTCTACCTGGCGCCTCTATAAACCATACTGAGGACAACTTTATTAATCGCTGGCCAGGGCAATATGGCACCTAGACGCGCACGCCCCGTTCGGAAGCCCCTCTCCCCCTCCCCCTTCAAGGCGTCCTTGTCTGTTTCTCATTACGGCAAGGCGCGGGACGAAGACAGAACTGGCTGTTTCGATGGCGGCCCAAGTCACTGATTTATGCCCCTCCACTTCCCTTATCGTGTACTTTTTCCCCTCTTAAGGTTTTTTTTGCGTCCCCCCTGCTTTCGTCTTGGTTTTTTCGCGCTGCGCTAGAGGCGCGCTGCTCGCTTGCCGCTCCTGTTTCCTCATATTTCTAAAAGAAGCCATCCTCCCCGGCCTGCTTCTCCGTCGGCCGCCTCGCATTGGAAAACACGCATTTATCTTGTTTCAAATATAGTCTCTAATCGGGGCGCCTGGGAAAACACCCCAAAACGACTAAAACGGAGAAAAAAAAATCAATGTATCCAAAGAGAGTGTCCCTCTTTCTTCTTGGTATCAAGAAGGTTTTATCATTAAATTATTATGTTCATTGTCAAGTCGAATTTGACTGCGATTTTGACAACAAGCCTGTTCGGTGGAGACCGCGGCGGGTGGCACCGTCCCGCGCAGCGCACACCGACACCTGGCGGCGGTCCCGACCACCACTCGCGTGAGAGACTCGCGGAAAGTAAAAGTTGAGACAATACCCGTGCCGAGCCAGTCAACGGGGCACTCGGCGAGAAGTAATAGTCACAAGCATTACCGATGCCGACGCAACTTTTTCCTGAGAAAGCGCGACAGGGAGCGCGTTCCACCTGAGCGGGCCCCACCCCACCCCAACCCAACCCCAAGCCAGCCCGGCCCGCCGCCTGCAGGCTCCAGGCCGCGGTCCTCAGCGGGGCACCTCGCCGAAGAAATTGTTTTTATTTGGCCCATCTACTTCCGATTTGGCCTTTCGTGATTGATTACTCTTCTGAGAGGATCAGTTAAGCGGAATCGAAAGGCGCGGCGCGGAGTCCGCTGGGGAAAGGAGGAGAGGGGGGAGCGGAGGGGTGGCGCAATATCAACTGTGTATGAACGGAATCATGACTTTTCTCGTTTCGCTTTTCTTCCCGCCCTTTCTCCGTATTTCACGTCGAAGGCACCTTCATAAAACGCTCGTCCGTCTGCCCCGTGACCGTGGCCGCGGCGCGGTGCAGACATGTTAGTACGCACGCGATATGGAAATGGCCGTTCTCACGTATCGCTCCGCTCTGCACTTGAAACGAGAAACAATCAGCTTCAATTTGGCTATCCGGCCGTGCTCTGCCACGCGGGGCTACGCGCCCTCTATTAATTCACCGGAGGGCTCCCGTGTTTCTGCACTGTATGCAATGTATTCATCCGCTTTCCGAGTCATTCCACTCGGCCGGGTGAGAACTACATTCCGCGCCTTCGGGGGTGGGAGCTCGCTGTGTGTGTGAGTGTGTGTGTGTGAGCGTGCGGCCTCCAGTCACCTGAGTCACTAAATTAGGAGAACTACTGTGTATGCGCATTATGGCCCCTGCTATGCGACTTTTGCTCGGTTCTCAAGTGATATTCATACGCTTAGCTGGGCCCGTCAGATTGCTCAGAATGACATGCAAGTGCGCGAACATTGTTTTGAAAGGCATTGTCTGTCTCACGTACTCGTGGGTGCCAGAAGGGCGTGGGTGGTACCGATAGGGGCGGTGAGCCCGACACGCAGGAGGAAGCTCTCAAGGTACGAAGTCCGGAGGGAATGTCATCGTCCCTTTCCGAACCTTTCCGAAATAGCCTCCCGCCCCCTTTCTCGGCGTTCACGGCGTTTCACGGCAGGCCCGCTAAATTGACATGCGCCGAGAGCGTCTCTCCATCGTGGTCCTCGTTACTCCCTTTTGCCACTTTCTCGAATTTCCCGGTTAATTAGAAGGAGAAGGCTGGGAAGAAAGCGCGGAGGAGACCGAGCTAGGCCCTCGGCTTGGCTCCGCGGTGCGCTAAACGATCCACTTGAAAAGTCTGTTGAGGTCTCAATGGCTTCCCTCGCCTCGGCTCGCCTTGCCTCGGCTTGCCTCGGCTTGCCCTGCCCCACAAAGGCTTGTACACTGGTGCGGTCGCAAGGCACTTTTCCTCCCGCTTTTTTGTTGCCATGTTTTATGTGGTGTTTGCTAAATAGAGGTCCCTCATCCGCGAAACATCCCAAATGATGTTTGAAGGCTTCTTTCAAGGTTTTACCTTAAGTGAAGGTGCATGGTGTGGTGGAGTTATTTTCATAGTTATTGGCTTAGTAATAAACACGGTCAAGGAGCGTACTTCATTTTTTATTGAAACTTTGTATAATCGGAACAAATTGAAATAAGCATGCAGGCAGAACACAGACATGTTATTTTAATTGGCGTGCTTCAAAGGCATCTTCTAAAACAGCATGAATTAAATCTTTCTTTTTGAAGAAACGCAGTTTCCCATGGTTCGTTGCGGTACAGGATAGGAGAAATAAAGTTAAGAATAAAGTAGGCACTAGGCGCGAAAATTCCTTTTAAACGAGTGGTCAATGCAATATGCCGTAAGATACTTACAGTGGTACAATTACAGAGTACAGTAGTGTTAACGCATAGCATTGGACAAAAACTGCCAAGTACAACAAAATGCACAACAAATTCACTTATCAGCTTACTCTATTATATGAGGAGACTTGTCTAACTGTAGAATTACAATTAGTATTTGCACTATTTGATGATTACATGGTGTCGTATTTACAGAAACAGGGTGCTGCCATAATGCCAGCAAACATAACACGGCCTGAAACACTAATATTCCAGTTTGCTTTGCTCTACTGCAATCCAACAATAGCTCGTGACTCCAGTTTATAACCAGAGTAAATCGCCATGCAGCTTTAGGATATACTGTGGTTAGTGGATTGCGCCGGACACGCTATATCACAGTTCTCATCAGACTAAGTAACAAATATTGACTTTGCCTTGTCAATACTATTCCGCAGCCTCCCAAACACCCCTCCGAGGTACCTGCAGGCATGCCTAGGCACCTGGTACTTCCAAGGCCTGTTTCGAAGGCGTCGTATGACTGGACGCAGGCCTCGGCCTCGGCCTTGGCGTGAGGTCCGAGGCACGGCCTTGCCAAAGGACAGCACGGTATGCCGCATTACTACAAATAATTGAAACCGGCGCAATCCGGCGCGCAAGTGTAAACAAGTAATGTTTAGAAGAAATAACGATAATAAATACAGTCCTATACATAATCAATCTTGCAGAAGCATTTTATAAATATCTCTAACGGTGGAAAAGATACAGGGTAACAAAAATTATCGAGAGAAAGTAAAAACAAGAAGTGGTCCATATCGCCCACACTGACCCAGGGGGCTCCTCGTGGAGTGACTTAACTTTTTGCGCTGGTCGTTTCACAAATACCTTCGCAACAACAGAACTCAGAAAACAAGAACACAATTCCATTCGGTTTGCTAATTAATTTCACAAAATATACATGGCTAATTTAATAGTGTGGCCAGTGGCCTTTGCAATAGGATCCGCCAATGAACCGAACTGTGCATTAACACATCAGCAAAACGCGTGCCTGGTATACTTGTCTGTTCTCATGAGATATTTACACTCCGCACAGCGAATTCCATTGATTCGTTCACTCAACACTCGCGTGACTCCACACTCTGAGATATGTCACGTACTTTCTTCCCAAAAGTTTCACAGTGTCTCTTTCATTTATAAATTACAAAAAAAAATATATTTACACGTTCATCACAATTAAAAAGCGTCCTTGTCTGAGTCGACGAAGCACGCAGTTTTTCAGATCCAGTAGAGGTCCTTTGAAGTCTCCTGCACCTGGGGTTCCAAACCTGCAACACGACAAAATACACGTTGTTGTAAAAACCGTACCAGAGTCAGGTTGGTCAGACAGCGCCTGCCTCATAAACGGAAACTGCAGCAGCGCAGCCGCAGCTCTCTGTGAATTTCGTTGGTGGAGACCTAAACGCAGGGTGGGGGCCGACAGCCCCTGACATATTCGAAGGAGACGAAGAACCGACGCTTTTCGGGAGACATCACCTGCGGTGAGCAGAGACTATCTCAACAAAGATCGTTCTCGAGAGGAGACTGGCCACGCCACGGCAAGGCTCCCCCCTTAATTCAAGCGTCGTCCTTTCATTCAGTCATCCCCTCAGCTCGACACCGCGAGAGGCCCCGCCGTGTGTGGAAAGGGAGGCGCGCCCTCTCCCCACCTCGAAACCAATATTGTGCGGACGGCGATCGAGCTTTGTCGCTCCGTCTCTCTCGCACCCCTGCGGGACGCCGCACGAGAGGCAGAGAGAGACAGAGCGTGGTTCCGTGGACAGCGGAGCCGGGTGGCACGGCCGCGCGCACGGAGCGTTCTGCGAATATTGTCGCCGGCGTGTCGTTATAAATTTGTCTCGCAAAAGTTAGGTCGCTATTTTAACCATTAAATGTTCAGTGTTTACCCTCTTCAATCTCCAGAGTATCGGACCCGGCTTGAAGGGCCGGGGTCGCAGTACGACGACGTCGCCATGACAACGACCCGGCCCCAATATCGCTCGATTCAAAAATGATGCCCGCCGCTCCCGCGGCCCCGCGGCCCCTCGGAGCGTCGTGGGGCTGGCCGGCTGGCTAGGCCCAGGGGGTGGGGCGGGCTGGCGGGCGGGCTGGCGGGCGGGCTGGCGGGCGGGCTGGCGGCTCGGCGGGGTGGTCAAGCCGATAGGCGCGTCGTCCGGCGGTAGGCCGTGGGCCGTGGGGCTTGGCGTGGGGCTGTGCGGGGGTGGAGGCGGTCGATACACGGCCAGCGCGCCAGCGGGTGAAGGGCCGGCCAGTGGCGCCCTCTACGAGGACGGCGACGGCGCGGCGCGCAACTGCGAGACGGTCACTCCACTGTCCACCCCTTCCTGTCACCGGGCCGCTTTTCCCCTTCTAGAATAACGAAAAGGGGAAGGAGATTCCAGCGGGAGCAAAGGAAAGGGCGCGCCCGGAGGAACTTTACTCCGCAAACTTTCGGCGCGGAGCTGCCGGCACGTTTGCGGCGGGACGCGGCAGGCCCGGCAGCCCGGCAGCCAGTCAAAACCAAATTCCCCGAAGGGCTAATGGGGAGCCATTCAAACTCCGTGGGTGTTTAGGCCGGGTTAGCGCGTCAAGCCGTCAAGCGGGCGGCCTCAGTCAATGCGATATTACTCTTTGATTAGGAGATCATAGAGAGAAGGGGCAGGGAGGAGGGAGGGGGAGGGGAGGAAAAGGGGTGCCGTCGCCGCGTGGGGTGAATATTACACGCCGATTTCCACCACCAGGCCATCTTCTTCGCTCGGCGCGCCGCCGTTCACGCTCGCATGAGTGCGTGTGTGCGTGCGCGCGTGTGTGGGAGCGTGGCCGTGTATACGCGAGTGCGATGAGCGAGCGAAATGAATTATATTACGCGGGGTTGCGGGCTTTTAATAGTGGCTCGACACGGAGCGGCACGGCGGCACGGCGTGCACACTGCTAGTCGGCCGTAATTAAAAATATTAGCGGCGTGCCGAGTGGCGCCGTCGTCGCCGGGCTGAGGGCGCTGAGGGCGGCCGGGGCGGCCAGTGTGAGGGTCCCGGCGGGGAGGCGCCGCGAGTTCACCGAACAGGCGGCCCAGTGGGCGCGGTGCAGCGCAGTGGCACGTAAGGCAGTGGACGCGTGGCTCTAGCCGGACACAGTTCGGGCAACCATATTCGACTTGAATCATATAATGGTTGCTTTGGACTCCTCACTGAAACTAGAAATTTACTGGGGTAGAGTATAGATGCCCGTCCGGATGGGGCATCTATACTACTCACCCTTTGAAGTTCAGTGAGCTCGTTAACGGTCCAAGGTTTGATTCGAGTGTCACATAGGCGGTCTTTGGCGCTTGAAACGTGTCCAGAGCTGAGCCTGCCGAAGCTGGCCTTCACTGTGGCTGACAGCCGACAGTCAGCCCGGCGGCAGCGCGGCCCCCTGAGTCCCTAGTCCAGTGGTTCTCAACCTTAGGGTCGCGACCCCAAGCGGGGTCGCGAAATTTTTTTAAGGGGTCGCGGCGATGCTGGGGTCGTGTTTTAGGCCGATTTTAAGCAGCCACTGCGTCTGATCCGAGGCGGGCATTTTGCTCCCTCAACGGGCAATCGGTCTTTGGACCTTCCTTTAGCATGCCTTTGTTACGGAGTGCAATTATCAGTCTTAGTTTGGGAGCAGTATTGTCTCAAAGTTGGCCGAAACGCTCAGAAATGTCTATGAAAAATCGTGTTTTGGGCCGATTTTAAGCAGCCACTGCGTCTGATCCGAGGCGGGCATTTTGCTCCCTCAACGGGCAATTGGTCTTTGGACCTTCCTTTAGCATGCCTTTGTTACGGAGTGCGATTGTCAGTCTTAGTTTGGGAGCAGTATTGTCTCAAAGTTGGCCGAAACGCTCAGAAATGTCTATGAAAAATCGTGTTTTGGGCCGATTTTAAGCAGCCACTGCGTCTGATCCGAGGCGGGCATTTTGCTCCCTCAACGGGCAATTGGTCTTTGGACCTTCCTTTAGCATGCCTTTGTTACGGAGTGCGATTGTCAGTCTTAGTTTGGGAGCAGTATTGTCTCAAAGTCGATCAAAACGGTCGCAAGTGTCTTTGAAAAATCGTTGTGACTATTTTGGTCAACTTTGAGACAATACTGCTCCCAAACTAAGACTGATAATCGCACTCCGTAACAAAGGCATGCTAAAGGAAGGTCCAAAGACCAACTGCCCGTTGAGGGAGCAAAATGCCCGCCTCGGATCAGACGCAGTGGCTGCTTAAAATCGGCCCAAAACACGATTTTTCATAGACATTTCTGAGCGTTTCGGCCAACTTTGAGACAATACTGCTCTCAAACTAAGACTGATAATTGCACTCCGTAACAAGGGCATGCTAAAGGAAGGTCCAAAGACCAACTGCCCGTTGAGGGAGCAAAATGCCCGCCTCGGATCAGACGCAGTGGCTGCTTAAAATCGGCCCAAAACACGATTTTTCAAAGACACTGCTGACCGTTTCGGCCAACTTTGAGACAATACTGCTCCCAAACTAAGACTGATAATCGCACTCCGTAACAAAGGCATGCTAAAGGAAGGTCCAAAGACCAACTGCCCGTTGAGGGAGCAAAATGCCCGCCTCGGATCAGTCGCTGTGGCTGCTTAAAATCAGCCCAAAACACGATTTTTCATAGACATTTCTGAGCGTTTCGGCCAACTTTGAGACAATACTGCTCCCAAACTAAGACTGATAATTGCACTCCGTAACAAAGGCATGCTAAAGGAAGGTCCAAAGACCAGTTGCCCGTTGAGGGAGCAAAATGCCCGCCTCGGATCAGACGCCGTGGCATGTTAAAGGAGGGGTCCCGTGGGGTCGCGAAATTTTTCCTGGGGGTCGCGGAAATTTTTGGCTTCAAAGTCCGGGTCGCGAGCCGAGAAAGGTTGAGAACCGCTGCCTTAGTCCACCCGCTCGGCTGCGCGCTGCGCTCGGCTTGTCGCTCGGCTTGTCGCTCGGCGGGTTGCGTGGTTCGCGACGATTAGGCGCTTGATTCCGCGAAACGGGTCGGCCGGGGCCGCGGCCGGGGCTTGCAGTGCACCAGCGGCCAGCGGGCTGCTACCGAGCGGCGCCGCGTCGCTGCGTCCTTGCGGGGCGCGCCGTGAGTGCGACAGAGACAGAGCGGCGCTGTTCAGAGGCGGCCTGCAGCGTCGCGCCACGGCGCCGAGGAGAGAGGGGGGGGGGGGGGCATGCCTCCGCAGCCATCGCTAAAGCCGCCCCAGGCAGGCAGGCCCAGGCCCCAAAGGGGTAGCCCAAAGGGGTAGCCCAAAGGGGTAGCCCAGCCCCAGCCCGCGAGGCAGGGAGAACCACCCGCCAGGACGTCGCGTTGTTTCGGCCAGTGCTGCGGGAGGCCAGGCCGGGCCAGACCACGTCGTCGATGATGAAGCTCCCTAATCCTGAGTGAACCACAGCGCGGAATTGATGGGTCGATGTGGCGGTCGGTTCGATAGTTCAGCCAGCCCCTTGGGGCCTCGGGGCCGCCTCGCCTCGCGCGGACCGTCTTCCCGCCGCCTTCAAAGGACGCAAGGGACGGCGCCAGCTGTGCGATGCTAGCTACTGCTGGCCGCGGCCGAGCTGCTGCTGCAGGCCGTATTGTTAAGCCCCGCGCCGCGCGCAGTGCCGCACACAATGGAGAGTCGGAATGTCGCGAGCCCCGCCCCGCCCCGCCCCGCCCCGCCCCGCCCCGCCGCCGATACTGGCGCCCGCCAAAGTCCTGTGGGTCACTACGCGGCGCCTTCCTCGCCGCTAACGCACCAGGCCTAGCAAAAGTAAACAACGGGCGGTTTTTGCCCGTGTCCTTCGCGGCGTTCGCGGCTCGTCACTGCCTCCCCCCTCTCTCCGTTTCTCTCCGTTCTCCAGGGTCGCGGAGACGAACGCCCTTAATTATGTTGAATTGAGACCGAGTTTGTGCTGGATGCCTGCACGCCGTGGGCGGGGAGGGAGGGGGAGGGAGGGCAAGGGAAGGGGAGTATTTAATTATTGCTCCTCGGCGAAACACCTCATAGAGTTGGCAAGAAACTCCCCGTTCCCCCGACGCACGGCGAGGGCTCGAACCCTTCCGCCTGCATTCACCGACTTCGGGGATATCTTGGCGAGCCACGGCCGCGAACCACGAGCCACGCGAGGATGCGTGATTTAGTTGCACTAGTATAATGGAGCAGCCACTAATGCACATGGAGCTGAGGAGACCAATTTCGGCGGACAAAACCACTGCATAGGGGAAGTTTTGCGCTTTGTCATTCCACCGCAAATTGGATTCGACTCACTCAATAAACCGATGGACTGCCGCCTTTGAACGAGGAATCTAACCCACCTGGACTTTTGGCTGCCTGGACTATGATAAACCATGAAGTGTTTAAGTCTTTAGCGCAGGATTGCCCTCCCAGCGAATCCAGGCCACAAGGTCCAAAGCCAGGAGGTCCCCAAGGACTTTTCGGGAGACGAAAAAAAAATGCGATCGGGACACGCGGTGCGCGGTGGCGCTTGTATTGCTTCTCGGGAGAGGCTCGCTGACTCACGAGGACCCCGTTGCGTCGCTCCGTCGTTCGGTTCCCACCGAAGGTACCCGTCGCTACCCCGTCGGTACCGTCGGTACGTGAAGGTACGCAGGGAGGTATGCGCCCCGTCGGAGCGAGCGGCCCAAGGCAGCGCAGGGCAGCCGAAGGTCTCGAAGGACGAAATTCGTTTCCCACGTTCGAAGGGGCCGGGCCGGGCCGGGCCTCCAGCAGGACGGTCCGGGACGGTCCACGCCGCTGCGTAACGCCGTAACTGCCGCAACGTGGCCCGGTCCTGCCTCGGCCCACTCCGGGCCGCCCTGGGCCTCCTCGACGCGACAACGGATTCCATTGGAATGTGCACCCAACATATCACGCCGCACGTTCTGCGATCGGGTGTTTGGGTGTGACAAGTCGGTGCCCACTGCACCTTCTTCTCGGCAGCGTCCTCCCCCCCCCCTCCCCCCCTTCCACCCACTCGAGTCTCACGACACGACATCCATGCTCACGCGGTGGGCAGTAGTCCAAGACAGCGATATCGGTAGCCCTTTCAACGTTGCTTTCGCTGCAATTTTTTTTTTTTGCAAGAGTTTTTTTTTTTTTTAGACACGCGATTATATACGCTGTGAGTTTCTAGGATATAGACTGCAGGGAAGTGTCGGTTTAACACAACGTTTTAATCAACCAAATTATCGGTTCGAATTAACATTTTGGCATATTATTGGCTCTGGCGTGAATATTTCTTTCGCTGCAGTCGTGTTGGTGCGTTTCAGCCAGGCGCCTTTGGCCGCGGTTCACTGGCTTAAAGTTTACATTTTTTTTTTTGCGCGGAGCAGGGCGCTGAGCGACACCGGGCAGTGCGGGCCGGTAGCGCGCCGAGCCCCCTAGGCGGCTAATCTCCAAAGCACCGGCCGGGGCGCTGTGGGCGCGACGCGGTTTCTTTGCCGGGCATTGTTTTCTTTGACCGAATGCGGCTTCTCCGGCTGATTTTCGCAGTAACACGAAATAAATGAAAAGAAATAAAAAGTTTGGAAAAGGGACGAGAGAAAAAAAAGGGTGATTCGCGAACAGCACGCCTTTGGCCGACTCCCTTGCTGTGGCAGTGCTGCTGGCGGCTTTGGACTCTTTGGAGTGCTACCGGTCCGATGACAGACGACCAGCCACCGGCCGGCCGGCCGAGCGGCCGAGCCGACGGGGAGAGTGATGATGCCGAAAAGCCCCCGCTAGATTTTTGAACTGCCGCCGCCGCCGCCGGAGAGGACGCGCCGCTCTGCGCCTGCATTGTTTTTACCGGTTGTTTTCGTGGGAGTGACGGGGCGGCCCGGCATGGCGGTCGCAGGACGCGGACAAGGGTCAGGTCAGCCGAAACGAGACAAGAAGGGTTCGCCATAAATTAAGGCCCTGTCAATTGGGACGCGCGGCTACTGGAGAGAGCGAGAGAGACAAAGAGGGAGCGACAACACATCCCGCCTAGAAATGGAATTGTTTTTGAATGATCGAGGCAGAATTAAAGGACGATAAATGATGAAGAAAAAGGGCAAAGAAAGGGAAAAACAAAAAAAAATAAATAATCGAGTGACGTAACCTCTAGCAGCAGCAGCAGCGGGCCGGCGGGGAATGCAAGGGGGAGAGCGGCGTGGCGCGTGCACCGGTAAAAACAGTGGAAGCAGGGCGAAGCAGGGACAGCAGAGATAAGCAGAATTAATAATGAAAAGTGCGAGCAGCGCGCAGAAATGAAAAGTACATTGGGAAAGCGGGGCGTGGCGGGGCGCGCTGCCGCCGTGCCGACCTGCAACCCTCTCCAGGACGTCGTCGTCGTCGCCCCGCGGCCTCGCTCCAGCCCGCCCCGCCCCGCCCCGCCCCGCCCCGCCTCGCGAGAGTCTTCCGTGTTCCAATAATGTCCCGACAGGTCGCCGGCCGAGTTTATTAAACGCGCGGAGGAGCCGAGGGGCTGTACAGTACTTACAGTGGCGGGGAAGGCCGTGTCCACTCCACGGTCCGCGGCCAGGCCCGGCAGATTACGCGCAAAGTGGAGCGCAAAAAGGGGGAGGGGGGCTGCGATGACAACCGCGAGGGATCGCGTAAGAAGTAAAGGGGAGGGGAAGGGAGTGGGGTAAAAAGGGCAGGGAGGGGAGGGGGACGACTGGCGTCTCTCCGTCCAGGTAATCGCAAACACTCCGCCGCGGCGCTCGGCCCTCGGCCCCTGCCGCGGGGGGTGGCGCAGTGCGTGCGGGGGAACCAGGCCAGGCAGTGTGTGTCTGCGAATGTGTGTGTGTGTGTGTGTGCGTGTGTAACTGCAACTGCAGCCGCCTGCAGTCGTGAAGCCGGCGAGGCCAGTGGCGTGTTGCCTTTAGCCAATCCCACGCTCCCATTGGGACTCATCACGGCGAATGAGGGGGAGGGGGTTCAGAGGACAAGATGACCTCCAATTGACGTGGCAGGCTGCCGCGCAACCTCTCTGTGTGCCACGACACTGCAACGGCCATTCCGAACAGTGCCGCGTCTCTCTCGCAGCCCTGCGGGCCGTGCGGGACGGGTCATGAGTGCGAGAGAGGCGGGGCGACGAGAGTGCGCCCCGTTGGGAAGCAGCCTGCTGTGGCGCGCAGGCCTGCCTGGCCTGCCAGTGGCCTGCCAGTGGCCTGCAGACAAAAAGCGCCTCCCACCGCCTGGAGGGTAGGCAGCCCGCGAAGTAGGCCGCCGTCCGGCTGTCTCCTTAACGGACTTCACACCGCCAACGCGCCAACGCGCACGGCGCTCTCGCACGCCAAAGCCCCGCGCGCGTCAGCCTCGAACCGCGGCGGCGGCGACGTCATCGCCATCCTCGAGGAGCGTCTCGCTTCCCGGAGCCCCGAGACCCCGAGGAGGCCGTCGTCGTGCCGCCGGAGACCCGAGTCCCGAGGCGGTCCTGCTGGTGCCGGTGCCGTCTGCCGTGGCGTCCTCAGCGCCGAGCCCGGCCGGTGGTGCCCAGTGGTGCCCAGTAAGCCGCCTGCCGCCGCGGCGCGGCGATACATCGCGAGATACTCGGCCGGGCAATTAATATCAAAAACACGGCCGTCGTTTTTCAGGGGTTCTGGTAATTTCTTGGCCGGAAAAATAAGGGCAATAAAACAAGCGACGCGCGGCACTTGTGACAGGAGGGACCCAAGCCGGGTACAGTGTGCTGGCCCCAGTGATCGGGCACCTGCTGGGGCCGCTCGGGCCGGCGTCCCCCCGTACGGCGACACCGCCAGGCCAGGCCGCCAGGCCGCCGCTTGTGCCGAGCCCCGGCCGCCCCAGCCGCCCGACCCATAGATCTATACGTGGATAACCTGACGATACAGTAGATACAGGGGCCGTCCGCCCCGGCCGCCGCGGCCCCCCGACGGCCCCGAGGTCCCCGAGGCCCCACGACGGATCACTTCCCCGATTGCGGCGGCCGCAGGCAATCCGCGGCGTGGCGGGGCGCGGCGTGGCGGGGCGCGGCGCCAGACACTTTGATGACGTTTCAATTGGCCGATCGGCAGGCGCGCGGCCGCGTCACTGGGGCACGCCGCCACGCCGCCTCGCCTGACAGTATCGCAGGGCTTTCATTTGAATCTGCCGCGCGAACGCGGCACGCCCCAGGCACGCCTCAGGCACGCCTTAGGCACGCAGCCTGGTTCCCAACAACTGTGCTTTCGTCGCGCTGTCGCCCCACGGGACGCCCGAAGAGTGCGAGAGCGACAGCGCCGGTGCGCTCTTCGAAACTTTGCGGCAATTTGCAATAAAAGTTGCTTCGTGCTCACCTGCCATGCCTGGATACGAGTACCCCGCCGGGCCCGCCTCCAGCCCGTGGTGGTGGGCCACGCTCTGGCCGTGGTGCGCGTGGTGGGGGTGGTGGCCGCCGGGCGCCCACTCCTTGCTGTACTGGTGGGCGTGCGCGGGCAGCCTCGCGGGGGGCAGCAGCAGGCCGCCGTACTGCGCCGCCATGTTGTGGTGGTGGTGGTGGTACTCGTGCACCGCCCTGGGGAGGCAGGAACACCGTCAGCCAACTCGTTCGGCGCTCTGTCTCTCCCACACCCAAAAGTCGAGTAAGAGTGCGAGGGAGACAGAGCAACGAAATCACTCTTCGGAAGCAGGCACTCGGGGGAGCTGTCCGGCCGTACCTGTGGTGGTGCGCCGCGGCGCTGTACTGCGGGTAGTGCCAGGGGTCCGTGGGGGTGCTGGCGGCGTGGTGGTAGGGGTCGCCGTAGAGGTCGCCGTGGTGCGACACGCCGGGCACCCCCATGCCCGCCATGCCCGCCACGCCGGCGGCGCCCAGCCCGCCCACGCCCGCCATGCCGCCCAGGCCGGACGCGTGGTAGTTGCTGTTCCAGAAGGAGGCGGGGAAGTTCCTGGCCGTCATCGGCGAGCTCTCTGCAAGCAGGAAAGAGACAGAAAACTCGTAAATGCGCGTGTTAGGCGGCCCGATTTATGGTGCGAGTGAGCTAGCCAATCAACAAGAAAGTCCGGGGCGCGTCATCGCCGCCATATCAGGCCGGAGATCGCAGCCGTGCCGCCGCGGCTCCGCGTCAAGGCACCGCCAGAGCCGCCAGCACCGCGCCGGCGCGCTTCGCCGTCACGCTTCGGGTGCGGCGTCGCTCTGTCTCTCTCGCGCCCCAGCGGGACGCCGGGACGCCCCACGAGTGCGAGAGGGACAGAGCGACGACGGAGGCACGGTTCGGAATCGGCCTGCTGGCGGCGCGGCGGCGGCGACCAGACAAACCTAACGAGCCGACAGGCAAACCACCGCGGAGCGTTTACATGACCAATCTGCATCATCGCGGACTTGCCGCGACGGGAAGGGGTTGGGGGAGGGCGGATCCTACAGTGTAAGACGCTAGGGTGCTCCGGCGCGGGGCGGGCTCAAACCCCGCAACCCCCACAAAGCGATCGCCGAGCAGAGTGATTCCGGGACGCGGCGCTCACTCCGTCTCTCTCGCAACCCTACGGATCGTCCCATAGAGTGCGAGAGAGATTGAGTGACAAAGCACTGTCCGGTTTCAGAATAAGCCTGCAGTCACACGCACAATTTCGAGCCCGTCAAAGAACTTGCTCGCAGCACTGTTAAAAAAGTTATGAATTTTCAAAGCAATTTTGATGACAATTTTACGAATACGGATATGAATTTTACAAACATTGCAATTTTCATAACTTGATGCGAAAATTCGAAACAATTTCGTAAAATTGACAATTGTTGGTAATTTTAAAACCATGTTCTGAAAATTGCGAATCTTAAATGTTGATTTTGAGCACACAATAGTAATTTTCCGAATCCGATTGTAAATTTCATAACTAGCTCAAGAGGCGTGGCCAAGGGGCGCTGGTAGAGTCATCAGTAGCTGACCCTCCGCCTCCCGTGGGACGTGGTAGCACAGCGGTAAAGAGCGTGCACCACAAGTCAAAGATCCCGGGTTCGAAACCCGCTGATCAAAAGCAGATTCGGTTCAATAAATGGCATAAGGCCGCTTGGGTGTTCATATACATGAACACTTAGCTGTCCTTTTGCTTAACTGCTCTAAAATGACCTCGCAAACGCGAATATGAATTTTCATAACATGATATGAATTTTCATAACGTGATTGTAAAACAATTTACAATCATTTGTGATTTTAATTTTCATAACAATTGTTTGTGAAAAAAAATGCCAACCAATGTTATGAAAATTACAACTGATTTTTTTAACAGTGAGGGGGTTGGAGGCCCCCCCCTCCAATTTGATAGAGGTGATACGCCGGCCGGGCCATGTCGCGCCACTGTGCCACAGTGACTGTGCTAGCAATAAATTAGTCTCTTTGTTCCCACGGTGCGGCCCCCTCGCCCCCCCACCCCCCACCCGCACAGTGGACTGGAGGCGAAAGGGAGAGGGGAGGGGGGCACAACAAAAGGACTGCGCGCCGCCAAAATGGGATCCTCTCCGGGGCCCAAACTCCGCCAAACTCTGCCAGAGAGGGGCACCCGTCGGGCATCCGGCGGGAGTGAGAGAGAGAGAGAGAGAGAGAGAGAGAGAGAGAGAGAGAGAGAGAGAGGGGAGGCGGCAAAAGGGGGGAAGGTGGTTTCGCGAGTTTTGAAAGAGACAATATTGAAGAGAGTACATCAGTATCGGTTTTTCTGCATCTCTTGTTAATTTCCTCCCCATCGACGACGTCCCGCCACCAAAAATAAACACTAAAAATACTAATTCAATCTAACAAAGATGAATAAATTATTGTTGGAAAATAGAGACACAGGGGACACGACGGGCATTCCTTGTCTGGGCCGGTCGGGCTGTGGCGCGGCAGCGAGGCAGCGCGGCGGCGAAAGAGGCATTGTGTTGGGACTGTTCGGTCGATTTGTTACTTCGACGCGTCCGTATGAAGATGGCGCGGCAGATACTGTCTCCGATTTGGCTCTGGAGGCTCCAGTCCAGTCCGGCCGGGCGAGGGGGGAGGGGAGGGGGAGGGGAGGGGGAGGGGGAGGGCACAGCGAGTCAAAGCTCGCGCCGAGCAGCCGCCGCCGCGGAGTGCGACACGAGCATCGAAACGCCATTTCCAAAGCGTCCGTAGGGAAACACGAAAGCGTTTTCGTCGCACTGTCTCACTTGCACCCCCGCGGAACTCCCGATGAGTGCGAGAGGGACAGAAAGCGCTGTTCGGTATCAGTCTGCAGCGGCCGGTGATTTAGTTCGCCCCCTGGTAGTGCGGAGGGTTGAGGAGAGGGAATTGCTTGTCAGAGCGGTAGCCCCCGCCGCCCCCACCTTGGGGCCTCCTTCGCCCCCTGCAGTCGGCTGAACCGCGCCTCGTCTCTGTCTCTCTCGCACCCGCACGGAACGCCCCACCGAGACGCACCAGCGACCCCTTCGCCTCCCCGACCTCCATTAGCAAATACGGCGACTTCTTCTAATTAAAACTACTACTCCCTCCTGGAGCTCCTCGGCTCGGCCCGGCGCCCTGTTCATTTAGTGAACCTCCCTCTCTCTCCTTTGTCTCAACACTTTCCCGCCAAGTCAGCAGAGTCCGCTAAGACGGCCAAAACAGGCAAAATAGGCAAACCTGGGCTGGTTTTGCCCGCGGCTGCAGTGCAGGCTGAACGGTGCTTCATCGCCCTGTCTCTCTCGCACCCCGACGGTACGGCCCCATATGGGTGCGAGAGAGACAGGGCGAGTGAAAGCACTCCTCGGAGTCAGACTCCTAGGGGCCCAAAGGTGACCCGGCTGACCCGCCTGGAGGAGACAGCTGCGGCGCACACGTGAGCCCACGTGGTGGGGAGAGGGGGGGGGGGCGCTGAGGGTGCTCCACAGCCGCCTCACGTGGATGATAATGAAGCCACTGCCAAATTGCCCAAGGTTTGCCCCGCACGAAGAAAAGTCGCAGAGTTTTCCTTTGCTCTCGTTTACGGCGTCATTTCGGTCGGATTGATTACTGTCTTAGCAGCTCCAGCTAAGATTCCTATATCCAGCCAACCCGAATGACTCATTGTCTCGTACGTCTGCGATGATGCTTTACGCATTCATCCAGCGTTGAGTAATAACGGTTTGGTAAACGGAGCGGTTGTCGAAAAGCGTTCTCCCTCTCACTCCTTGCGGAACGCTCCACGAGTGCGAGAGAGACAGGCAGTCTTTGTGTGCGGAAATGGGACAGCCCTTCCTTTCCCTTCCGCCAAGCCGAGGGTGCCGCCGCCAGGCCGTCAGGCCGTCACCGTGCCTTCGATGGGGCGTGCAGAGTGCAGCCGCGCCGGCCTAGCCCGGTGGGGCGTCGCTCCAACTCTGTCGCACGGGGCGCCCCTTGAGTGCGACGGAGACAGCGCCGAAGCGACCCTTCGGAACCAGTGTGGTGGTGCTAGGCCCCGGCGCGCCGCGTCACCGAGGCGTGGCACGGCGTGGCACGGAGGTCGAAGGAGCTGCCACCAGAGGTGCCTCGCCGCCACTCCCACAACACATCCGCAAAAGACGCCGCCACCGCAAAAAAAAAGGGGGTGGTAAGAAAAATGGAGCTCGTTTGTGCGTTCGAATCGTGTGACTTTTACTGGAGCAAAAGTCGCCGTAGCCAACAAAAATTTCCGCAAAATCTAAAAAAAAACCGTCACCTTTCTTGCATAATTAGCCGTCCACCCGACTTTCGATTTCGGGTGAACCCTTTCGAACTCACTGCTCACCTTTGCCGAGTGCCGATGCCTTGGTGTCCGCGTAGGCCAGGGCCCTGGTGAAGTGCTCGTCCACCACACTGGCGGCGTCCCCGCTGTAGTGCGTGAAGACGACGCAGTTGGCGGACAGGTACTGCGCGTGGCCGTGCTGCCCGTGCCCGTGCGCGCTGTCCCGACTCGAGTCCAGGTCCACGGCGTGTAGCGCCTCCGTCTCCTCGTCGTCGGCCACTGCTGCTGCAAGGAGAGGGTGGAGGTTCAAGTCCCGCTCGGTACGCCAATTTTTTTTTTCACGTGTGACACTCACCGTCGGCACTCCGGGGTCCGCCGCTGTCCTCCTCCTTGTGGCGGGGCAGGGAGGGGGCGGAGAGAGGCGGTGACCCAGGGCTTCCGACGCCGCCGCCCCCAGAGGAGACGGAGCCCACGGAGGAAGGGGGGTGGTGGGACAGCCCCAGGTACCCGGAGCCGCCGGCGCTGCCCGCCGCGCTGCTCGCGGCGCCGACCGACGCCACCGACGCGGCCGAGGACTCGCCGAGGGAGGAGGAGGGCTGCTCGAGCGACCGTTGCACATTGAACTGCGGACAAGAGAAGAGCGACATGAAGCGGTGCAGGGCCTGGGCCTGGGCCTGGGCCTCGCCCTCACAAGCGAGAGCCTTCGTCCCTGAGGAGTCCCGCGTTCAGGAACTCTTTCTTTTACAATAAAAAGTATTTTCTTAATACAGTAAATGATGTTTTTGTTTCGCCCTTTCAGCTTCAGCATGAGGAGACAATGCCCGCACTCCTTAACAAGGGGGCGGAAAACCCGGAAGCTCATTTGAGAAACACAAACTTGGGGAATTCCACGTAAAAGAAAGTAGATTACCGGCTCACTTGTCATTTTTATCTACCCATTACTCCCGCCGTCGAGCCTAGCTGGGGACGTATTTGTCTTCCGCGGGCATGCCATCGCCTTCGCTCTGTCTCTCTCGAGCCCCAACGGGACGCCCCGAGAGTGCGAGAGAGACAGAAACACGGCCCGAAAGCAGCCTGGGTGCGGTATGCAAACTGCCTTAATGCGCGTAATTAATTAAGCGAATCAAACTAACGCGCCGCCGCGGCGAAGCGGCGAAGCCAGGGCCCGATCACGAGGACCGACAGCCTTCCGAGGGATCCCTCCGTCTCTCTCGCTCCCCTGCGGAGCGCCCCATGAGTGCGACACAGACAGAGCGAGGTGTTCGGAGGCGGTCGACGCCCGCACATTAATCCCGACGCGCGCCTCAGTCCACCTGCAGCAACGCTTGCCACGCCATCTGGCGGCCGATTAGCGCTGCACGACGTCAAAGCGGGCTGGCAGGGCTGGCAGGGCTGGCATCCAGGCTACAAATTTGCAGGCGGCGGGAATGCCGTGTCCGAGATAAGTCTAGCGAACCGCCACCGCCGCCCGGCGCCGCCGCACACTGGGCCGGACGAACGACCAGTTCGGGCGGACACTCCACTCTGGATGGACGCGTTTTGAGCTCGCAATCGCTATCAAGACGGGGTCGCATCAGACATGTGAGGGTGTCAATGGATTCGAAGAGCGAGCAGTCCCTCGGCACCCTCAAGTGTGATAGACTCGAGTCCCATTCGACGACTTAAATCCACAAGTGATTCGAATCCTATTTGACGACTTAGATCCACTCGTGATTCGAGTCCCATTTGACGACTTAGATCCACAGGTGATTCGAGTCCCATTTGACGACTTGTATCCACAGGTGATTCGAGTCCCATTTGACGACTTAGATCCGCAAGTGATTCGAGTCCCATTTGACGACTTAATTACATTCGTGATTCGAGAGTCCCATTTGACGTCTTTCAAATCGAGTCGCATTTGACGACTTAGATCCACTCGTACCTCAAGGCAAGCTTCGACTTCAAGGCGAAGGCAAGCCCAAAGGCAAGCCTGAGGGCAAGCCTGAGGGCAAGCCTGAGGGCGTCGTTGGCGCGCACCACGAGGCAATGCGTTTTTTTCGCCGCGCTGGGACGCGCTGGGACGCGGCGACGCTGCGACGCGCCGAGCCGAAGCGGCCGAGACCGAGAGGGGAGGGAAAACCGGTAAATCTCGCCAAAAACAATGGCGACAGAGATCGCGGGGCCGACTGACACGCCGATCAATTTGCGAAGGTCCCGAAATATATATCTGCCTCTATCGCGGCCGCCCGTTTGTATCTTTCTCTCTCTCTCTTTCCTGAACACAAGCGAGACACACACACACACTCACACACTTTGCGCTGCTTCCACCGGCCAAGCGGTCGATTACTTTGCGCTTTGTAAAGCCCTCTCGCGCGCTGCGCCCGGAAAATACGCACATTAAACATCAAAACAAACACGAATAAAACAAAGGGCCGAGTGCACACGCGGCGAGGGGACTGGAGGTGAGTCTGTGTGTGTGTGGCTGTGTGAGTGTGTGCGTCTGTGTGTTGGTGGTGTTTAGTGGCGCCGGCGGCGCGCGCGGCCTTTTTCTATTTCGGAAAGCTCTGTACACTTAGTTAAGTGCGCGGCGGTGGACCATGGATCACCGACGTACTAGGCGCCGCCCCAGCGTAGCCATGGCAACGAGCGCAACGCAGCGCAGCCAGGAATCCGGACCGAGGTTTCCCGCTTTATCAGGTGGACACGACGACGAACACGCTACCGAAACCGCGCGCCGATGTGTGCGTGCGCATGTGTGTGTGTGTTTGTGTGTGCGTGTGAGTGAGAGAGACTCGAGCTTTGCCAGCGTCATGTTGGGCAAGGGCAAGGACCGCGTCGATGCCCTGCGTGGGACGCATCGCAGGTTAGTACAGTGGTTCTCAACCTTAGGGTCGCGACCCCAAGTGGGATCGCGAAAAAATTTTAAGGGGTCGCGGCGAGGTAGCTGGGGTCGTGTTTTGGGCCGATTTTAAGCAGCCACTGCGTCTGATCCGAGGCGGGCATTTGGCCCTCAACCGGCAATTGGTCTTTGAACCTTCCTTTAGCATGCCTTTGTTACGGAGTGTGATTATCAGTCTTAGTTTGGGAGCAGTATTGTCTCAAAGTTTACCAAAACGGTCAGAAATGTCTTTGAAAAATTGTGTTTTGGGCCTATTTTAAGCAGCCACTGCGTCTGACCCGAGGCGGTATTTCGTCCTCCTTCAACGGGCAATTGGTCTTTGGACCTTCTTTTAGCATGCCTTTGTTACGCAGTGTGATTATCAGTCTTAGTTTGGGAGCAGTATTGTCTCAAAGTTGGCCGAAACGCTCAGTAATGCCTTTGAAAAATCGTTGTGCCTGTTTTGGTCAACTTTGAGACAATACTGCTCCCAAACTAAGACTGATAATCGCACTCCGTAACAGAGGCATGCTAAAGGAAGGTCCAAAGAACAATTGCCCGTTGAGGGAGCAAAATGCCCGCCTCGGATCAGACGCAGTGGCTGCTTAAAATCGACTCAAAACATGATTTTTTAAGGACATTTCTGAGCGTTTTGGCCAACTTTGAGACAATACTGCTCCCAAACTAAGACTGATAATCGCACTCCGTAACAGAGGCATGCTAAAGGAAGGTCCAAAGAACAATTGCCCGTTGAGGGAGCAAAATGCCCGCCTCGGATCAGACGCAGTGGCTGCTTAAAATCGACTCAAAACATGATTTTTTGAAGACATTTCTGAGCGTTTTGGCCAACTTTGAGACAATACTGCTCCCAAACTAAGACTGATAATTGCACTCCGTAACAGAGGCATGCTAAAGGAAGGTCCAAAGACCAATTGCCCGTTGAGGGAGCAAAATGCCCGCCTCGGATCAGACGCAGTGGCTGCTTAAAATCGACCCAAAACACGATTTTTTGAAGACATTTCTGAGCGTTTTGATCAACTTTGTGGCAATACTGCTCCCAAACTAAGGCAGATAATCACACTCCGTAACAAAGGCATGCTAAAGGAGGGGTCGCGTGGGGTCCCGAAATTTTTCCTGGGGGTCGCGGAAATTTTTGGTTACAAATTTGGGGTCGCGAACCGAAGAAGGTTGGGAACCGCTGCCCTTACTACTCTCAAATAATTTCCTTAAATTTTCTCAAATTTGTCGAAAACTCTTTTGACTGGCCAAAATGTTTCATTTTTTGAAACCGTTTTGACTGCAGACTTGTTGTCCAGCCAGTCCTTGCGAGGGGAGGCCTGACCAGGCCTGACCAGTCGCGACAATAATTGCTTCTCTCTCTCCATGTTTGTTTGTTTCGAGTAGCCCGCCGGCTGGGCCCTAACCGTCGCGCGACGAACATACATCTGCACACGTCTCAAGCGGAAGGGGCCCAGTTCAACTTGTTATCCGACTTACGGTGTGGCACCGCGCCCCTCCAACTTTTTTTTTCCACCAACGGGAAAGAAAAGCCGCGCCCTCGGGTTGCCGACCCAAGGAAGACGGCAGCGACGGCACCACAGACAAAAACTGGTAGAAACTGTCTCAAAAACCGTTACAACCTCCAAAAACAATAGATAAGTTTCAAAATTAAAATCGCCCAAATCACCTGTTTTTTGACATCAAATTTACACAGAGAAGCCCGTCATTTCATTTAACATTCATCTAAATAGTTTCAGTCACTTAGATATTGGGGTGGAACAAGAAAGAAGCCGTTTGAGTTTGAACTTTCGTTTACGACATCAATTTTGGGCGGAGCAGCATTTTCCAGTGCGGTGGCGTGGGACGCGTCACGATGCAGTGCAGTGGAGGCGAGTCGATTTCACGCCCTCGCCTGATAGCTTTCCTCGCGAGTTGATTGGCCTAGACTTTCACTCGAGTGGCGTGCGCTCCGCCCCGCCGCGCCCCGCCCCGCCCCGCCCCGCCCCGCCACGCCCTGTCTCGGTGCTTCACACATAGAAGTACTGATATCGATCAGCCAGGACTATGAAAAGACAGTCTCAAGATTGAAAATAAGAAACAAAGGGGAGAAAAAAAAAACACAACAAAAGTAAAGGACATTAGCAAATGGTGCTCGAATAACACTCTCTGAAGGAAGTTATACCAGAACTTGAACAAACTTAAAGTACAGAGCTCACGCTCATCAACTGTCAGATAGATCTAGTCACGTGGTCACGGGTTCTAGCGTGGAGCAGTCTGGCATGCCGGGATCACAAAACAAATGAATGACAACACGAGCGCGACTGGGCGGCGCTTCTCGCGAGACTTTGAAACTCCCACTCCGGCACACATATATACATTTTCATTACTTCCAAAGAAACGAGGCAAAAAGGGGGCCTCTTTGCAATTCAGACAGGTAACCCGTAATTTATGTCATACACACGTCAAAGTAATTAAGATGCAAAAACGAAAAAACGGAGCGTGGGTGTCAGAAAGGGCGCCGCCTTCAATTTATAACTCCTCAAAGATTAACATTTCGCTCATTTCGAATGTGTGTATATGTCTGTGTGTGTAGGCGGGCGGGCAAAAGAGGGCTTACAGAGACAAGATTTTCTGTCTAATTGTCGGGGCCTGAGCACTTACTTTGTTCCCCATTATTAACAACAGGCTGTACAGTCTACACAAGAGACAAACCCGGATCCTCTTATTGTTAGGTGAAGAATTTCATTGATGAAAACTACTACTACC